GCCCACACCGCCAAGCATTCAAAAAGACTACAGGCAGTGTCAAAGCAGATAGAGTAGAGGGGATTGGTGCTTCTTTAGGTTCTTCCAATGACAGACTAAACTCTTTTGACACTCTATTCAAAGAATGAGAAAAGGTCCATTTTTACAAGAGTTAAGGTATGGTTCTCACATTGATCTGTGAATAAATTGACCCAGGTTTTGGGGATTGATTTTTTTGACTAACATTTCTAGATCTATACACGAGTTTGTAGAGTAAATGTCTCTTTAAACCTAAGCAGTAGAATATTCTGGATTGTTTGGAAACTATAGGGTTTTTTTCCCCCCTGCAAATCGCTATAGCCATAATTGTTTCTCAGATTACCTGATGTAGGGATCTGGCAGTTTTGCCCCCAATGAGACAGGAATTGGTTGGTCTGTTTGTGTTCATTGTTATTGGAAGCTCTCAAGGGTTTTACAGCAGATTGCTTGGGGACAAGCACCCAGTCCACAGACCAGCACTTTGGACAGCACTTTGTTCAGTGTTACTGCTAAAGAAAAGAGATCACATCCCATATTTACATGTTGTAGAGCTGCATATTTGTAAGCCCCTTTTTATTTTGCTTAGTTTAGTCCTAGAAACTTCAACATTACATTTCAAAATGTAATCGTGGTTTAGTTAATTATACCAAGAGGGAAAGGTCTCAAACACAATTCATACGATACATGTATTTATTACCAGTGGTAATAAATAAACCACAGGAAAAAAATGTTATATATGTACCCGTTGTATGCCTGATGGCAAAATGACTATACTCTGGAACTTGTGGGGTCATTTGATTGATCTGCATGAAATTATTTGTAACATAAGATTAAAGTTATAGTGATTATAGGCAGTCCCCAAGTTACAAACAAGATAGGTTCTTTAGGTTTGTTCTTAATTTGAATTTGTTAGCATGTCAGAACAGGTTCATTTTTTAAATTTAACTCTAGCCAAAAATACATCTTTTTTCCCCTTCGGATGTGATAGTGAAGAGTTAACATCCCTGTGGTGTTGGTTTTTCTGTCTGTGCCACTGTTCAGAAGATTTTATCTCACTTTTTGTCCCTGTAATAATTGGATTTTGGAAAATTTGGCTTGTTTTGGAAACAATGAAAAGTTTCAGTGGAGATCTCTCTTCGCCATGATAACTTTTTCAGGAGTGAATTTCCCTTCCTAGGGGCAGATTTCTCTCACTTCCCTGTTTTCTCACCCCCATTCTTAACTATGAGTCATTTGTAAGTTGGATGCTTGTAACTTGGGGACCGCCTGTACTTTATTTTCCAAATGGACAAATAAAATGCAGATTATAATTGATCAGTGGCCAAGTCCACCAACAAGTCCTAATCAAGTGTTGGTAGGTGAGCATGTCATACATGGCTGGAAAATCCAGCATGCATTTACAGGAATATGTGTGTGTAATGACTTGTTTACAATGCGATACTTTAAATAGGTGACATGTCTGAAATCTAATTTAGATTGCTTCTTAATTGTGTGACAAATAGTTAATAGTAAGGCAGGTGCAATAAGTATTTTAAAAAATTAATTCATGCTACTGACAAAAATAGAACCAAATATTAATAAATTGATGGCAGCACACCATGTTCATCCTTTTCACTTAGGAGTATTTTTAAAGTTATTCATAATGTTTATTTTAATATTATTGTTTTCTTAATTTTCTTTGTGTAATGAAAATGTTAATATGGTTGGTGTTAATGATTTCATAATTTTAATCTTCAAGGGGTCTCATGTAAAACCACACTTTAATTTTCCATCTTGTAGGACATGTGTAGAAATATAGATTCATAAAAGAATTTGTCACTGCATTTTTATGTTTGTTTGCTTAAAGTAGGTAGGCTTCCATGGAGGCACTTAGTACTTTTTTTAAAAGGGGGTGGTATGCCAAATAAGTAACTTCTGTTCTAACGGAACCCAGTACTTTAGTGTGTTTTTAAGGCTGAGCGTAATACTGTGTTGATATCAGACCCTGCTGTTATCACCATTATGGCACCAGTAGACATAAGTCAACTAGGTAGGATGAGAGACCTGCCCCAACCTTTCTGCTCTTCACTCTTCCACTGTAATATGATTGCTGGAGCAGGTCACAGCAATTCCCATAAATGATCTTGTCATTTGCTGTTCAGCTTGCTGTCAGTTGTTTGAATAGAATATTGTTTTTGTTTTGCAAACAAATGTTGTCTTCCACAATGCCTTCCTTGAGACAGAATATTAGATATAGCCATAAAAACTGAAAAGATACAAAAGGGGAAGAATGATTTCAGGCAATTAAATGTTTGGAGGGAGTTTAACTGTCAGAATGCATATGGGCATTTATGTTTAGTTGAAGTTGTGTTGATCTTTCTTAGTTTGTTTTCTTGTATGGATAGAAGTAATGTAGTATCCAGCGGCCACTAGTCCTTTGGGGTGTTGCAAAGTTTAATGGATTCTTCTCTTACAGTGTCAGGGAATCTAGAAATGTATTCAAGGTCTTTATTGTGCATTTGAACTTAGCAGCGTTGGACTAGGTTATTTCTAAGCTCCTGTTTTCTTCCTAATTAAGACCACTGTTGAAAGACACAATTCCCTGTAACAATTTTCATAAGACTCTTGTACCACAGGAAAACGGCAATTCTGTAAAATGAGGCAATTCTGTGAGTTAATTAAGTAACAGAATATTCTGATTTACCTAGTCAAAATTTACATGATAGTTGAATTGACTACATGCGGTACTTTGAGACAAACCTATGTTGCATTATTCTTGTAATAAAAGGCTTCAGAAACCTAGAGTGGTATCCAGTCCATCACTCCTGCCAATAGAACTTGAACAAAGTTTAGCAATGTGAGACTTCATTTTTGTGTCCTTGCGAGTACTCTCCATTGAACTATGTTTACCTATACAAATTTCTCAGTTTTTTTTAAATATAAGAAGGAAGAGCTTATTTTCATCATTTACTTAATGCCTGGAAAATCTCAGAAACTAGAAAAGGTTGGACAGTCATGGAGTAAAAATCAGTATACAGTATTTATGTTTCATTGTATCCCATTGAGTTAGACTTGGGGTTCACATCCAGACTTTCTTACAGGTATTCAGGCTGCAAAATTTGCACTTCAGTATCACACTTCCAGTTGTCTAACAGAAACCAAATAGGAAAATATTTGGAAAAAAATGTACAGATGTATTTTAAGATAGCATTTACAAATATTGTTTCTCTTTTACATTGACCTGATCAGTGAAACAGACTTTCCTGCAAAAAGAAACAAGGTACTTTGTAGTGTTGCAACTTTCCTCTCTGTTTTTTCATGCAGTTAGCTTATGTGGATCCACAGGAAATTCCTCCACTGAATCTGCACTAGTCTGTTCTTCTTGTCTTATGGAGATCTTAGAAAAGAGGAGTGATCTGACATTGTTTTAGGTGTGAAAGAATATGTACTACTTAGCCTATTCCTCTTTTTCGGGCTAGTTCTGCTTATTAAAGGATTCATATCTCAAAGAAGCTAGGACTTGAATGTTTTATCTTTCATTGTTTAAATCAGGGGTCCTCAAACTTTTTAAACAGAGGGCCAGTTTACAGTCTTCAGATTGTTGGAGGGGGAGGGGCTATGCACACATCTTAATTGTAGTGCAAAAAACATGAAAGATCAATACAGTATTTAAAATGAAGAACAATTTTAACCAACATAAACTTACCAATATTTCAGTGAGAAGTGTGGGCCCTCTTTTGTCTGATGTGATAATCAAGTTAATTTAGGATTGTTGTGTGCCTTTGAGTCATTTCAGACTTAAGGTGGCCCCAAGTCTAAAGTTAAGACAGGGGCCGGGTAAATTGCCTGGGAGGGCTGCATCCCTCCTGGGGGTCTTAGTTTGGGATCCCCTGGTTTTAATGATCACTTACCTACAAACTGGCATTTCAATATTTCTGAACTTTCAAAAAAGTGTTCTACAAAAATATCTTCCAAACTTTCAATGTTTACTAACCTGTATTATGGCTAATACCACATTTTCATTCTCCTTATCAAGAAATAATAGCTTTGAAGTACTTCACCAAATCCCAATCTTTCAGGTCTTTATATTTTTGTGAATTTTTCAGAGTGCTGTCAGTTCAGTTATTTTGCATAATTCCATAATTTCTTCCAACATCCGGATCCTTTTGCTGCTTTTTCTACTTTTACACATTGAATTTTAACAATAACAGTATAGAATACTCATATTTGCATATAGAATTATTGCTACATTTAGAGTACTTAAATAAAATTATATTCGGCTCCATTGACAAATTAATCTGAATGGTTTAATGTTGTGAAACACTGTTCTCCATTGCCATCTCATATTTCCACTAAATGTAGAAAAATGGAAAAAAAGTTGATCATTTTCTATTCCTCTCCTACTTGCATTTCCCCTCAGTTATTCAGTCAGTATCTTTTTTCATTCTTACATAAAAGTATGGTCCTTTATAGGACAGGCACTATAATTCATTGTTTGAAATTTCTCTTTATATCTTTCTTGCTTGTTAAACATTACATGCAGATGTGCTGTCCTTCAGCACTACAACTATGGCTGGTAATCAAGAAATAGCACAGTCCAACCGTGGTGAAGCAATTGACACAGCTACCTAACAGGAAACTACATACATGCATGCAGCTTTTTCTTTTGGCTGTTGAGACTGCTTCTCTTGGTTACTATAGCATTTGTGATTGCTGCACAGCTGCTCCATTGTGTGGTGTCACAACCACATGTATGTTTGAATACATTTTCTTGTTTCATTGGAATACTACTTAACAGTTACACTTCAGAATTGCATCATCAAAACATGTTATCTCCAGATATCTACACAGTTTGCTACAACTATAGAGGAAAAGTGCCAGACTATATCATTCTCATAAAATAATGTCTGGTGTGCTGTATCTTGTATCATTACATTAAATGGAAAAGCAGAAATACAGTTTACATTTACTTTAGTAATCTATATTTTGTGTTTACTAAACAGACACTTCTTGAATATGCAGAAAAGTGGAAGGCATCTGAAGATCCCCTACCTTTGTTGGAAGTATATACAGAGGCTATCCAGAGTTACATTAAAGCACAACCATACCTTACCTCTGAGAGTGAAAATGTAGCCCTTGTGCTTGAACGCTTAGCCCTGTGAGTGTTTTTTTATAAGTTTTACATACATTTGATTTTTATTTTAAAGATACTTATTTTGTGTGTGTGTGTGTTTTAATTATTTTACTGGCAAAGCAATTGTTTATGGAACCTTTGACTTCCTTGTTGATGTTTGTAATATTTTTTGCATTTCCAGAAGCTATGTTGAAATTCTGCTGTGTTTGCCTCTTGAACTACCTGAAAATAAATGGAAAGAGATTCAGTCTTTTATTCAGGTAGGTGTCTGATTTTGTAACTACCCTACACATTTAAGGTCATAGTTGATCCTAAATGACACAAAAATGTACATAATGTGTGTACTATCTTGTGCTGTTTAGTACTCAGTGTATTCTGTTGCATCTCAGTGCCTCCTTGGATATGTATTTGTGTAATGTGGGGTTGCCTTTGAAGACAGCTCGGAAGCTCCAACTAGTCCAACGCTCGGCAGCCATGATTTTAACAGGAGCGGAGCGCAGGGAGCATACAACCCCCCTGTTGCGCCAACTCCACTGGCTACCGATCTGCTACCGGGCTGAATTCAAAGTGCTGGCGTTGGCCTTTAAAGCCCTAAACGGTTCCGGCCCAAGCTGCCTATCTGACCGCATCTCTGCCTATGAACCCACCAGGAGTTTGAGATCTTCCGGGGAGACCCTGCTCTCGATCCCGCCTGCTTCTCAAGCTCGGCTGGCGGGGACGAGAGATAGGGCCTTCTCGGTGGTGGCTCCTCGGCTGTGGAACGCCCTTCCTACAGACATTAGACTAGCACCATCTCTAATGGTATTCCGCAAAAAGGTGAAGACCTGGATGTTTGTGCAGGCGTTCGAGTAATCTAGTGCAATATTGGTAATTGAACATAGGAATGGAACAATGGACGACAAATCTGGACTATGCTTTGATGATGAGACAATTGGGCTGGTTATTGTAATAATTGTTCAGTGTAATTGCTTATTGGTAATTTATGGATAATGTGTTAAGTCAATTGTTATATGTTGTATGGAACCACTGCTGTTTCTACTGTTTTTACTGTTTGTGAACCGCTGTGAGTCGCCTTCGGGCTTGAGATACAGCGGTATATAAGCAAAGTAAATAATAAATAAATAAATAAATAAATAAATAAAGTGTACCAGAGTTTTCTAAAATCCAGAATGTTCATATTTGGCTTTTGGTGAAGTATTTCCTCTATTTCGATATTAGATAAATTCGAAAAAGAAAAATCTATGCTATCAGTCATCTGTGAGTGCTATTTCTGGTTTCTTGAGGGGAAAATAATTAAGCCTAGAGCTGTAGAAGCTTTTGCATGGCTTAAAAGCCTTCCAGTATATATGAATATATAGACGAGCAGGGATTCAGCCAGTGCTGGATGGGGTTACACTCTCCCTGAATCTCAGATTCGCAATTCAGGTGTACTCCTGGATTTGGAATAGAGCCTGGATGCTCAAGTTTCAGCAGTGGCCAGGATAGCTTTTAAACCGTTAAAACTAGCATACTACCTGTGCCTTTTTCCTGAAAAGTCTTATCTGGCTACAATTATACATGCCTTGATTACATTCTCTTTGGACTAATGTAACATGCTATAGATGGAGCTGCCTTTGAAAACTTTAGTAAGTCCAAAATGCAGCAGCCAGGCAATTGACTAGTTGATTATGGGGATTATGTAACTCCCCAGTTGAAACGGCATTGCTGACTATTGATCTGTTTCTGGGCAGAATTCAAAGTACTGTTTTTGACTTTGAAGCTCCACACAACTTGGATCCAGATTATCTGAAAGACCAGATTTTCTTAAACAACACAGTTTGAATTTTAAGATCTTCAGAAGAGAGCTTTCTCTCTTTCCCACAACCTTTGCAGGCCTGTTTGGTGAGGAGTTAGGAGAGAGCCTTCCCAGTGACTGTTCCCAAGTTGTGGAACTCCTGTGGGAGTTTCGGTAATGTTTTTGACTGTTTTTCAGCATGTTTTAAAAATAATATTATGACTGAATTTCTTTTTATTTTTTCTAAATTAATATTATAGCTTGATCTTATTAAAACCATCATATACCACCTTGAATCCCAACTCAGGAAAAAGGCAAGATATATATTTATTAAGTAAATAGGTTGTTGTCCATATTTCATCTCCCCACCTTAGGCACATATGGAGACCTTTAAGTAGAAATATTGCATCAAGGAGATATTTGAAAAGTTCCATACAAACCTGACTTGTATTTCTAACCAGAATTGTCCACATTTGGAGCAAGACTCCTGGAAATATATAGAAATTGGAAATACCTGCAAGTTCTTGTGTCCTCAAAACTACAAATGGATCCTACAAAAGGATTGTTAAAGGACACTAAATAAACAAAATACTTACAAAGCTAGTACCTAACTATCGGTTCCCAAAGAAATTGGGAACTGAGGGCTCCTTGAAGGTGAAGATACTCTAAGACGATGACTTGGGAAACAGCCTAATTATTTTAAAATTTGGAATTCAAAAACTAATTCAAAGATTGGATATTTCCCTTCAATTTTAATTAAGTTCTGCTATATGAGTGTCACAATGATTTCTAATATCCATCTTAATTTCTAATGATATTTTTGATAAATTTTATTTTTCTCTTCACATAGCAGTGTAGATGGCTTTCTTTGTCTTCCCCACTTCACTGTTCTGGCTATAGTCTGTTTACTGGTGCTGCCATATGTGCCAATACAGTTAAATTAGCCAACAGGACTTCAGTCTTAGTGTTGGCAAAGCTAGTGTGACAAAAAAAAAAATCATAAAATATCTGCTATAATTGTTTCTTTACTTTCCCCCAGACAGCACATGAAAAGTTGATGCAAAGTGGCAACAGTCAATTTCAGTTTTTATCTCTTCTTGCCCAAGAGAATGGGGCCTGGAAGAATCCAGTTCTTTGCGGTATTCTTTCTCAAGAGCTACAGGATCAAGATAAAGGTAAGTTTACATTGATCATATGAGACATTAGATACCACCAGTTTCACAAAATAGTTTTTGAAGAGAAAGCCAATGTTAGTAGTGTATTCACTTTGTATGACCTTCCCACAACCCAATCCAATTACTGATTCCTTAGTGAACTTGCAGAGATAGTCTAATAGGTAACAGTTCCAATCATACCCTGGTGATGGTTTGTGATAAAGAAGAGAGTAATATGGATGTTTTCAATTACCATTCTTCTGCATTAACGTCATTTTGTGAAAATACTCCATGTGGCAAAATTTTTATGTAACATTCACATTCTCCCCCTTGAAGAGCAAGCTCATGATAGTGTTTCTTCAAATGTTTAAGGGGGGGGGGGGGCTGCCTCTGCTTATGGTGATCCTATGAATGAGAGACTTCCAAGCCACTCTGTCATCAACCATCTTATTCAGATCTTGCAAATTTTGGGCTGTGGCTTCCTTGAGTGTAGTCATCCGGAATGTAGTCATCCTCTTTTTCTGCTGCCTTCTGTCTTACCAAGCATTATTGTCTTTTCTAGCAAGTTATGTCTTCTAATATGGCCCAAGTACACCAGTCACTGTGATTTGTAGGGAGAGTTTGGGCTTGATTTGCTCTAGGATCCATTTGTATTTGTCTTTTTAACAGTCTCCAATATCTTCAGAACCCTTCTCCAGCATCTAATTTCAAATGAGTTCTATTCTTATCCACTTCCTTCACTGTCCAGTTTTCAGAAACAAACATGGAAAAGGAAAATAAGATGACCTAACTTTAGTGTCTGGTGATTTAGCTTTACACTTTAAGATCTTGTCAAATTCTCTGTTTCTACTTTATACATAAAACTATATGATTGAGAGAGAGAGAGAGAGAGAGAGAGAGAGAGAGAGAGAGAGATAGATGTATGTATGTATGTATGTATGTATGTATGTATGTATGTATGGGGTGTCTTTTTAATTTGGGGGTGTCAGATCTCTGTTACATTCTAGATAGTGGTTGGTTCTAAGAAAGTCTTTGGAATTAAACATTTAACTGTATGAAAAACTATAAAAAGTTAACCTGCAGTGCAGTCTTAATGGTTTGCTGCCTAGTATATCAAGCATCCAGGTGACAAAATACAAAGCTGTGGTAGCAGCACCTTTTGTCTGCTCTGGGTTTAAGCACTATTGTAATTTACTGCAAGGAGGTAAAGATGGTTCTAGGCCATGCATTTAGTCATATTTCTCTTAGATTTGCACACCTGCCTCCCCCAGATTAATTTTCATGTATTTAAAAGTATAAACAAAGAGACACAGAGAAGACTGTTACATCAAACTGCCATCTGTTTATTGGCAGATTGGGTTGCTGGTATTGTTTCCAGTTCCTCTGACATACTTGTATCTATTTCAGTAAAATGGGAATAGATTTAAGATAGTAAGTTTTTTTTTGTATTGAGTGTAAATTGAAACAATATATTCAGTGCTATTATATTTCTCATAATACTATGGAATTTGTAATAAGGTAACATATTTGATGTTATAGGATACAATTTTCTTCAGTTTCCCAAGAGCCTTTCCATTCGTATTGCTCTAGTAAGAATGATTTTATTCTCATAGAAATCTCACATTCTCTGGTTTGTTTCCATTTTGCATATTGATTTTTAAAACATGCCTAAATTTGAGTACAGCAGAAAAGAAAGTAATGAGAATATTTATGGAATTAATTTAGTTTTCCATCTCCTTAAACCACCCTCAGTTTTCAATATAGTCTGTAGCAGGCATGGGCAAACTTTGGCTCTCTGGGTGTTCTGGACTTCAACTCTCACAATTCCTAAAAGCTAGTAATTTGCCCATGCTTGGTCTATAGGGTTGCCTACCACTTTCAATGTTTGGGTTTTTTTTTTTTTTTTGGTCAATTTGGGGCTGAAAGAGAAGCCTCTGTGTATAGTTTGTTTAGCACTGAGCTGTACGGATACATGGAGGAATATCAGAACTGTTCATTGTCATGTCAATCTGCACTGATTGCCTTCTTTTCAGGGATGTGAAAACTACAATTATGCATTGCAGAGACATAAGGCCAACCTCTACATTCTTGAATCTAGTCAGAGCAATGGTTATATAGCCATTATTGTTCTTATTTTCCACAAAAGGAAGGCATGCAGACAATAATTTACAAATAATTAGTGAGCACATGATAACAAACATACATACAGGTGTTCATACACACAGACCTCTCTCAGACACGGGAATCATGCAAGTCCAGGAAAAGTGGCAAGACAAGTTTGTGGAATGCATAGATATTTGGAGGTGCAAGGGAGGCCAGCATAGATATGGTCTCCCTGATATTTTCAAAGTTAGTTGTGCTTTCCTGATAGTTACTCATCTATTATTTATCTGCAGTATGTATTAATTCCAATTTTCATTTACCTATACATTCCAAACTATGCTGTTAATATATAAATTATGTACAGTTTTGTCTTTAAGCCACCATTAACTTGTATTTACATATTCTGAAAGTTCTCTTCACAGATAATGGTTTGAGTTTGGATACAAAAGAACTGTAATAAGGACATTAGAAGCCTAATTAAAACATATTTAAACAGCAAAAAATAGGTGAAATAAAATAATTCCTAAATGGAAAATTAATTATTTCAAGGCTTATCCCATTTCTTTAAAGACAGTTGATTGCTGGGAGGATTTTTATAGAGATAAATGCAATGTTCCTGGTCTAAAAATCTGAAGGCCAAACTGAGCAAAATTTATAGTACCATAATATTTATTTTGGTCTCAGGTGTCAGTTTTTCAGACATATACCATGGAAATGGAGATTGCAGTGCATTTGTAAGAGGAAATTAAACCTTGACATTAAAACTTTAAATGTTAATAATATTGATGTAGTAGTTTCCATTAAAATCTCAAGGTCTTTCTGTATCAGATTTCACTGATAGCAAATGTTCCTCTGTTACAAGACAAACTACATGAAATGGTAAACACTGTGGTTGAAAGGATTATTTAGGCTTGTGGGCGGAAGAGCAAGGCTGAAAGAAACAAATGTAATTATTCACTGGATAATTATGAAAGTGGTTGTTTTTGATTAGATAGAGAAAGAGAATATTGGATGAAATCAACATTTTGTTTTAACAATGAAAACCCTACTACATTTAGAACTTTATTAAATTGAAGTGTTTACTTCTAGTTAACATGATGACTATCTGTCAGCATTTACAGTGGCTTTTCTAAGTACAATAACACCTGAGCAAACTTCTGTTCTTTCATGAAATATACATGTTGTACATTGGCGGTTTTCAGAAATAAAATACTCTGAAATTACTGTCACTTATTTCTGTGGCTACATCCTTACTCAGATACCTTTGTAAAGTTAATTTAATTTACCGTATATACCGAATACAAGGTGACGGGGGATATAAGATGACCCCCAACATTGAGTTAAGGGGATCTCATTTGGGGTTGGGACCCACAGTTTAAAAAGCAGTGATCTAAATCAAGTCTTCTTACAGTATTTCAGCTGAAGGCATCAGGTAAAACACTTCAGAAATACCAGCTCAGTACATTTTATTGAACAATTTTTGTCAAGCCTTTTCCACAGACAGGCAACCCCATTTTCCATTTATAAGCACACCTCTGGTTTCATGTAGAGTTTTCTTTCTTAAAAGAACATTCCCTTCCCATCAACAATCTATACACATAATGCAACTTGTTTAAATCAGTATATTGATCCAGAAAAAAGTGGTAAATTCTTTAGTCAGCTACTTTTGTAAATCATGTTTTTCATCTCTCAACTCAGATGAGATTGTCACCAATTAATCATATAATGGATTTTTTAAAATTGGTAACAATGCCAGACCTGCTCCATTCATCCCATTTCATCACCTTGCTCTCTGAAAGGTAATTAAAGCAATTAATTTACCTGAAATATTATCTGCTTTAGTATTACATATAAAACTACTTAATCCAGGAAGTCCAGAGGAAGTCTGTACTGGCATTGATTAGAATTTACTTTCTTAATCTTTTAAATAAATTTAATTAATTTTAGCATCTTAGCCTTGTTGATATAAGTGTAGTTTTGTCTGTGACATCTCTTTCATGTTGTAACTTTATGTTTAGAATCGTCTGGGTTCTTCTCTGGTTTCTTATTCAGTTTTCCTCCTGAAGGCCAGCTTCAACACTTGATTCTTATATATTACAGTGTTCATTTGCTCAAAGCAACATTTACAGTGATTTTACATTTTGGTGTTTAGTTTCTAATTTAAAATCACAGTACATTCTTTCTCTTGCGCTCTCATTAATTCACTAATTATAACTTTCTCTAGTGGCCAGCGCACCCTGTATCAAAGTAGGATAGGCTTTCTCACTTCTGTCGTGATGCAACTAAGTAAAACATTTCCCTAAGTTCTCACAGATACGGTTAGCAAGGACTCATGTACACAGGTAAAAATAAAATTGTATAGCTTGATTTCCATTTCTTGGCTCAAAATCACAGTTTGGTAGATTCTTGGGAACAAGCTTTTAGAAATACTGATGGATGATCTTAACAATCTTTTAGTTATGTCGTTCTGTTATAATGTTTCTACTGAAGTATTTCATGACAGAATCCAAAACAGTTCATTTCAACTTTCTTCTCTTTCTAATTTATGCCTTTTTGAATAATAGTTATGTTTAAACACAGGGATGTTTGTGCAGAAAACAGTAGCACTATTTATTTTCCATATATAGCTTCAAACTAGTTGATATAACTGGGGGCCAGTTTGAAAATTGGTTCAGAGAAAATACTGGGTGTAAGTTTAGGTTTATATGCTGTCTTTTTCAATCTTTGCATGGATTTTCTCTCCTCACAGGAAGATGTGAACAAATCAACTAGATGGTCCTATATTTATTTTTCTATATTCCTATACTGAGAGTGGCTGTATAGTGGAATGAAATCATATTCAGTCTTTACATGTTTTGGAGGGTATCCATGTAATTCAGGGGCGTCAGACCCATTTTCATTTCAGCCTATGTTAATCCTATGGTTGCTTTCAGGGGGCCATTGAATCCATGACTGGAGCATCTATGGATAGACAACCAACTATAATTTAAATACATATTGACTGGTGCTCTTTTTACCCAATTTGGGTTCCCAGTTGCTATTGAATGACAACTTCCATCACCGTTGATTTTCTGCCATGTGGACTGGGGATAATGGGAATTTCAATCCAACAACCTTGTGGCTCTGAGGTTGAGGAAAAGTTAAAGAACATTATAAAGTTAGACATCATACCCACAAACCTCGTATTTAAATGCAAACCCCTCTAAAAGAACAAACTGCAGACTTCCAGGTGTATCACAACTCCCATCAGCTCTAGTCACTATATCTAAGGATGAAAAATAAAGGCAGTATAGTACAGCATCTGGTGGACCACATGAAATGACATAGTGAGCCAGATTTGGCCTGCAGGTCACATGTCAAAGCTAACTAACACATGGCAAGAATTGTCTTAATTCCTGCGCATTGGCAAATATTTAATTGGTATATTCCAAATTCATCTCTTCTAGGTGGGCAGGCACACAACTAGTTGCCCTGCTCAGCTTTGAGGTCCTAGTATTTGTGTGAGACTGTCCAGTTCTAGGAATGGTTTCAGTTTGTATTCAACTGAAAAAGCTACACATATCAAGATAGCGAAGAATGGAGCTCTTTCTACTTCATCACTACTTCATTTTGAAGCCGTTTGACTGTTGTCTTATCCATTTGGCTTATTGTACTTTCTATCATTAAATTATCTTATCATGAAAAAGAGAGACATGGTTTTCTGCTCAAAGTGGGTTTCTCACAGATATTTGAGCTATTTGGCATGTTTACTTTTAATTATCAAATACTCTAGATTAATGTTATGTGACTTGCATGAAGAAATGAGAATATGTTTAATTATCTGTCTTTCAGTGAATGAATTTTTAGCCTTTGAAGGCTCTGTGCTACTGGATATGCGCATTAAGCATTTGATGAAATCAAAGCAATTAACTCAAGCAACTGCCTTAGCAAAGGTGTGTTCTGACCACCCAGAAATCAGCAGCAAAGGTAGTTTTAAGCAAACCTACCTAGTCTGTCTTTGTTCTGGATCACCAAATGAAAAGCTAATGCAGGAGGTGAGTATGCTTTATATTGAGTTCATTTTTAAAAGCATCAATGTTGGAAGTCCTTTCAAGAGTATAATAATACATGGTTTAAGGGTGTGTGTATAGTGTGCACATATGCACAGTTAATTTTGAATCATACAGTGTAAGAGAAAACACTAAGAGGTATTATAGAGATGTTTTCCATTATATAGCATTGTAACACAACTCTCACTCTACTCTTTAATTCTCCCTTTGCTTTCCTGACAAAGCTTGTAATCTGAGTACAGCTTGCTATACCAGACTGGACCAAACATAGCATGTTTCTCTTGTGTCTTGTGCCTTTTTCCCCCACCCAACTTCCTGGAGACTTTTTATCATGTCAGAAGTGACTTGAGAACATACTGTAAGTCGTTTCTGATGTGAGAGAATTGGCTGTCTACAGAGACATTGCCTAGGGGATGCCCAGATGTGCTATCATCCTGCTGGGAGGCTTCTCTAATGTCCCCATAAGCTAGAGCTAACAGATGAGAGCTCACCCCGTCTCGCAGATTTGAACCACCTACCTTCAGGTCAGCAGCCCAGCCAGCACAAAGGTTTAACCCGTTGTGTCACTGCAGACTGGGAGCAGGGCAGAGGAGACTATCCTCACATTCATGTTGGGACACAAATATGAAAAGAGTCCTCCATAGCTTGAAGAAATTTATTTTTTGGACTACCACTAATATAGCCAGTGGCCATGCTGGCTGGAGGATTCTGGGAGTTGTAGTCTAAAACATACATTTTTCCAGGTTTTGCAGCATGCCTGGTAATCCAACCATCAGAAGTGAGTGCTTCAATTTGTGAGCTCAAGAAGCCAATTATTTCCTCTTGTTTCATTTTATTCCTCACTTGATGCTATCCAGAATAAGCAAGGTATGTATGTTTGTGTATGGACCATATACATCTTGACTTCTCACGTCAGCCACTGCTGCCACTGCTAAACCCCCCTCTTGGTATTTCATCAACACATTTCTAGAAGAAGAGCCTAGAAAAGTTACTTTTTTAAAATTGTTTGAAGTTTTGCCCTTATGAGATAACTTTTTTGTCTGCTTTGACTCAACCCTTTAAAAAACAAATGCTATATTTATTAAACCGCAGACTTTTGAATTATATAAAACAACATCTAGAGAGAATGTTATAAATTATGACATTACTAAACTACAATTAACAAAACTACATACTACATTACAAAAATGTAAACAACACTAAAGATGGATAAAAGACAAATTACTTCCAACTTACCAAGTCAACCTTTCCAGCAAGTATCTCTTGTGCAAGCCAATGTGGTGTAATGGTTTGGACATTGAACTATGATTCTGGAAACCAGAGTTTGAATCTTCTCAGTCATGGAAACATGCTGGATAACCTTAGGCAAGTTGTATTCTCTTGGCCTCAGAGGAAGGCAAACAACCCCTCCCTGCCAAACAAATCTTGCCAAGAAAACCCTGTGATAGATTCATAAGTTGAAACTATTTGAAGACATTTACCACTTCATCACACTAGAGAAAAAATCCACTTAAAATCCAGTTTCTGCCTCCTGCAGAATTCTGGGGTTTGTAGTTTTGTGATGCTGTTAAAGTCTCCTCTCTAAATTACAAACCCCAGAATTCTGCAGGAGGCAGAAACCGGATTTTAAGTAGATTTTTCTCTAGTGTGATGAGGCCAGTAATAACAAATCCCAGTAATGTGGAATAAGGTGCTGGATGTATTGTAGTTCTCTAATTTTTAGGATCTCTAGGCTTCATAATATATCTCTTCTCCCTTGAACCCTTCCCTAAATTATGCCACTGAAATTAAACAAGGTAGAAGTAAACCTAGACTGGATTTTTGTGTTCAAAAATATCAACTGTATTCAGAGTTAGTACTCAAAATGTACTCCTCACTTACTCTTTGACTTTTCAATTTCTTTATGTTACAATCTGGAGTTGAAATTGATTTAACTGGAATTATTTCAACAGTTACAGTGTTGAGTACTGTTTACATATTAAGTGATAACAATGCCAATTCTATTCAGATTGGTTTCAGGTAATACAACAAAACGTGTGGGTGAATACTTAATTGTGGCACTGTATAGTGTAATTAAAGCATTGAAATCTCGATCTGATCCTCTGAGTCATATCACCTTTAGATTGCTGAAATTGTTTCTCTCAGAAAACGAGGAAAAGGGGGCACACAGAAGACTAGAATGGCAGGGATGAAGGTGCTGACCTAGCCTTCTCCATTTATATATGGAAGGATTTTTTTAATAGAAGAACACTTAATCCTGAGTCTCCCATCTGTGTAATGAAGTAGTATTGCTCTGGCAGATAACTTAATCAGAGATGAAACATTTTTAGTATTTTAAAACAAATTAGTTATTACTGATTTGTAGCCCACTTTTCAATCTTTAAAATGTTCAGTATTTATTTTCTCATTCTCACAACTACACTGAGGGGCCTTCCAGACAGGCCCTATATCCCAGGATCTGATCCCAGGTTTTCTGCTTTAAACTGGATTATATGAGTCTACACTGCCAAATAATCTGGGGTAAACAGAAAACCTGGGATCAGATCTTGGGATATAGGTCCTGTCTGGAAGAGCCCTGAGAGGGAGGGGAAAGTGTTTACTTGTTAGTAATATGTCTATGCCATCAAGGGAGTATGGAACAGCCATAAACATTTATTGGGTAACACTGGAGTGCAGATCTTTTAAAATACCCATAGCTGCTCTTCAGCCAACATAGGTGTGGCAAATGGAACCTTGAATTTCAAACTTAGGGCCTGAGCAATTTTGTTTGTGCCTTCTTCCCTTTATAGCATGTACAAAATTAATTGTTGTGTCCTGTAATGTATTTGACCGTCATTTCCATCCGCTCCAATACTGAGTGATGACAGAAACTTACATTTAAAATAGCTAACTAGTACTTAGTTGGAAAAACCTGGCTTACAAGTTGTTGCTAGATAGCTACCTAAATCCTATCAATGTCATCTTTATTCTTTACTTTAACACTTATTATAAAAAGGTCAGGTAAAGGTTTCCCCTTGACATTAAGTCTAGTCATGTCTGACTCTGGAGGATGGTGCTCATCTCCATTTCTAAGCAGAAGAGCCAGCCTTGTCTGTAGACACCTCCTAGGTCATGTGGCCAGCATGACTGCATGGAGCGCCATGCAGTACCACCGGAGCGGTACCTATTGATCTACTCATATTTGCATGTTTTCGAACTGCTAGGTTGTCAGTAGCTGGGACTAACAGCGGGAGTTCACTTCGCTCCTGGATACAAACTGCCAACCTTTTGATCAGCAAGTTCAGCAACTCAGCGGTTTAACGCACTGCACCACCAAGGGCTCCCATATATTATAATGGTTATTAATAATTGATAGTGGATTATAATTTATCATATTCTTTAAAATATATTATTATTATTTTATTATGGCTCTTGCTATTGGAATAGTGCCACTCATATTTCCATATGAAAATTACTTTGTATTGTACAAGACTAGAAAGATGGGGAAGTACATTATGATTCCCTTTAATGCTTTTGCTATGACATATTAAAATAAACTCACAGGATGGGGAAATAAAAACAAGCTCTAAATATAAAATGGGTTTTCACATCTCACTTCTATAAATTCTTTCTGTCCCTTTTGTTAGGAGCACAAGTAAGAAGTACAACTAATTTGTATCTCCTCTCCCTTTTTGCCTGGTTTACTCTAAAATGTAATACCTATTAGTGTGAGGGGAGTGTACTGTATCCTTTTATTGTTTATTTATTTATTTACCCTATTTATATCCTGCCTTTCTCAACCCCGAAGGGGACTCAAGGCGGCTTACATAAAAGCAGTTATTCAATGCCTTAGCAACATACAATTCCAATGAACATTAAAATTAAAATTAATACATATTAAACATTTTAAAACACTACATTCAATATTAAAACCACACCATCCACTATAGGATGCCAGTCCGTAAAGCAGGGACAAGTAACCTTTTTCAGCCCGGAGACCATAATCATCTTCAGGGGACACACCATTAGTAGGACAAAATATCCCATTGGCTCCTGCCAGTCTTCTTCTCCAGAGCTTTAAAACTACCTTCAAACCTTGGTTTAAAGCTGACTATTTTTAGAATTAACCTCCATACAATGTAGTATTATAGCATGATGTGAAAAGAGTAAGAAGTATAAATCGGAGGGGAAAGAGAAGGAAGAAAGACTGTACAAGTCCAAGGTCTCCTAATGGTACATCTGCATAGTGCAGTTACACCTTTATTTCAAGCCCTTTTCTTCAGGTATTAAGACAAAGTCTTCTGGGTCTCATAATCCTTTCAATTCTTTGTTGAACTTTCATGTTTGTAATTTTGGGGATAACTTTTACAAATAGTTACATACCATGAGTGTTATAAAAGTACATGGAAACTGGTTTTTTCTGTTAACTGTACTTAAAATTTGATTAGTATTGATACACCGCATACAGCTATTTGTTCTCTCTTTTACTTTAAAAAAACAGTCCAGATTTTAGGATTGAAATATTAAAGTATTGGGTACTTAGTTTCTTACATTTCATGTTATCTGATTATTTATTATTTGAAAACAAATTTGATTCTTCCGTGCTTTCCATTTTTATGTCTCTTCAGATTGCAGACATAGACTGCAAAGATGCTTTAGAAATGATCTGCAATCTAGAATCTGAAGGAGATGAGAAGAGTGCTCTGATTTTATGTGCAGCATTTTTATCTCGACAACTGCAACTAGGAGAGATGTATTGTGCTTGGTAGGTTGGAATATCTTTCCATTTGAGTATCCCAGATTATGACAAATATTCAGAGTTATTAAAGAAAGTAGTGTAGTAGAAAATGCATTTTTAGTCATAATAATAGATAACTTCTTCATGAAGGTTCATGTGACAGATCGGACATTGCAAATGACAATATGAATGTGTTTCTAACAACAGCAACAGCAGAAATTAGAGATAATTTTAAGCATATAAAATTTTTGGTTTATTGGTAATTTGGGGCCTAGTAAAATATCTCCTTATTTCATAGGTAATGAGTTTGAGATGTTTCCTGTTGTTGCTTTGTAATGTTTGATGTGTTACATCAGCATTCCTGAGAAAGATGGCTGCTTGGTACAAGTTATGAGAAAGGAGCAGTTCACAAGAATGTGAGTTATCCCTTTTATTGCCCAATCCAGGCAGGAATCTCATAGATAAGAATGGCTTTACCTTCAGCATTTAGAAGTGCTAAACCAGGATTGGAAATTGAAAACATGTTTTAATCAGGGGTCGCTCTACATTTATAATTGGTCCACCTAAATATGGTGAAGACCCCAGATCTCATCTGATCTCAGGATCTAAGCTGTTTCAGCTTTGGTTTAATACTTGGCTGTCATAAAATAGCAGGTGCTATAAGGGGAATTAATTGGCTCACCATAAAACAACAGATTTGAAGGCACATGCATTCCATTATTAAAAGAAAGCTTCAGGTATAAGTTCAGAAACTATGATTGTTAATCACTTGTAGTTTTGCCTTGTTCAAAATTTTCAGATTAATTAGATAACACAATTTTCCCTCATGTAGCGATCTTTTGATATATGCAGCCTTGATTAAATCTAGGTTAGACATTTCTCTAAACAAAATGGTGCCATTTGTAGAAGTTACTCTGACAAAAGGTAAGATACACACATTCTGCCTTTACTGTGCTGTATTTTTTCTGGTTACAGATTCTTATAAAGCATAGAATTTGCATTGAGCATATAAGAAAGTTCATATTAATGTATATTATAAAGTTAGAACATGTAAATTAGCATCCCTCTTCCTAAAACCTCCTCATTCCCCAGCTCATCAACTGAAAACTAATTATAGTGACAGTAGTATTTCTGCATTAGCGTTTTTTAACTTTGCGGAACTTTGTTTTCAGGGAACTGACTCTCTTCTGGAGTAAACTGCAACAGAGGGTAGAGCCTTCTGTACAAACTTATCTGGAGCGATGTCGTCAACTGTCTGTATTAACAAAGACAGTGTACCACATTTTCTTCCTAATTAAAGTAATAAATTCAGAGGTAAGGCTATGCTGCACTATTACTTTCAAGATGATATGAATTGAAAATAAAATCTGGGTTGAAAAATAACTCCGCAAGTCACTGAATGCTATCTACCAAGTGCAGTCATCTTACAGAAAAAAATGTAGCTCTGCATAGTCCTTCAAATGATATCTGCCTGCAAAAGCCAAAAGTTACAACTTTCTAGAAATCGTACTTGTTCCTGTCCACAAAAAGTACTTTGCACAATTGTATACAAATATAGTATTTATATACTATACTATAGGTATAGAATATAGAATAATAAAAGTTGGAATGAACTGCAAGTTACATACAAAATTGAAGGGTTTTTTTCCCCAGCAAAGTGTTGATTACTGTTGCCGGTTGGATTACATTAACAGATCAGATTTGATACAGTATTTGTATTCACAGTCAGCATCTCCTTATAATGCTTCACAATTCAGTCAAACACCAGAGTGCTCCCTTTCCCCATGCTATCCTCTGCCTGCTATTATTAATGTATATGTGGATCATATTTATGTTCTTAAATTAACAGCATTCATTTCCAAATTCTAACTGGGCTTCATATAGGAATTTTGGGTGTCTGTCAGAATGAGCTACAATAGCAAGTGAGTTGAATACTGAATTCTACCATTTGACTTTCTAGAATAATTAACTTATTTAAAATCTAATTTTAACTGATGTCTGTAAAGAGCAAGGAAGAAAGAAAGTGTGAAGTAGGCTTGCATAGCATTTGTAAACACAGAGCCTTTATTCTTTAATCTGTCCTTTACTTTACAGATTGATGCTGCTGGACTTGCAACTTGTATTGAACTTTGTGTAAAGGCATTGCGTTTAGAAGCTAGTGAAAATACAGAAGTCAAGATTTCGATTTGCAAGACTATATCTTGCTTATTGCCTGAAGATTTGGAGGTTAAACGTGCTTGTCAACTAAGCGAATTTCTACTTGAGCCTACTGTCGATGCTTACTATGCTGTAGAAATGCTGTACAATCAACCTGACCAGAAATATGATGAAGAAAACCTTCCAGTACCAAATTCATTACGCTGTGAGCTTCTACTTGTATTAAAAATGCAGTGGCCTTTTGATCCAGAATTTTGGGACTGGAAAATGTTAAAACGCCAATGCCTTGCTTTGATGGGAGAGGAGGCATCAATTGTATCTTCCATAGATGAACTGAATGACACTGAAATGCATGAAAAGATTGAGGACTGCCAAGATGAGAACAAAGATATATCCATGAATGGGCTTTCCGGATGTTTTGATGAAGCTACAAATTTGCTTAGAAGCATTCGAGACAGAAAACAGAAAAACAGAGAAATAAAAAAATTGAGAGAGCGAGGATTTATATCTGCTAGGTTCAGGAACTGGCAAGCATACATGCAGTATTGTGTGCTGTGTGACAAAGAATTTCTTGGACACAGAATAGTTAGGCATGCACAAAAGCACTATAAAGATGGAATTTATAGTTGTCCTATATGTGCGCAGAATTTCAATTCTAAAGAAACTTTTGTTCCTCATGTAACACTGCATGTTAAGAAGTCTAGTAAAGAGAGGTTGGCCGCCATGAAACCACTGAGGAAATTGGGAAGGCCACCAAAAGCAACACCCACTAGTGTGAACAAAAGGAACAACACTGTAGTTAAACAAGAACAACGTCACATAAAAAAGAACAACCTTTATGGTGCAGATTTCATTGTTTTTAATGATAATGATGGCTCTGATGATGAAAATTATGAAAAAGACAAATCATACATTCCAGAGATAACACCAGTCCAAAAGCCATTGCCTGTTAATGAATTTACTTGCCCTGTTACCCTATGTAAAAAAGGCTTTAAGTACTTTAAAAATTTGATTGCACATGCAAAAGGTCATAAAGACAATGAAGAAGCTAAACGCTTTCTTGAAATGCAAAGCAAAAAAGTAATTTGCCAGTACTGTAGAAGACATTTTGTAAGTGTTACTCACCTTAATGATCATTTACAAATGCACTGTGGCAGCAAACCCTATATCTGTATTCAGATGAAATGCAAGGCTAGCTTTAACAGTTATGCAGAACTTCTTGGTCACAGAAAAGAACACCCAGTCTTCCGGGCAAAGTGCATGTTTCCTAAATGTGGAAGGATTTTCTCAGAAGCATATTTGCTTTACGATCATGAAGCACAGCATTATAATACATTCACTTGCAAGTTTGCAGATTGTGGAAAAGTTTACCGTTCTCAAATGGAATTAGACAAACATATTGAAGATCACACTAAATCTGAAAAAATGCTACAGTCTGCTGGTGAAACTATTGTTCCTCAGCCTCTAAAAGGTAATGATGATGAAGAGTGTGTTTTCCCTCAGCCTTTGGAAAATAATGAGAGCACTGAAGAAATCCATCCAGAAGAAGCATTGATGCTCCCTGAAAATAGCTTAAATAATTGTGTCAAATCAGAAGAATATGTTGCAGAGGAGATTAAAGATATATCGCTTTTGGCTAAAAGAACAAAAATGTCAGCAAGTGAACCAGAACAGATTAATCCAATTACCACTGGAAGTGCAGAGCAACACATAAATGCTCCAGCAAAGCCAGAACCAGTAGTTCTCACCAGCAGTGCTTTAATGCCTCTCTTGGGCCAGAAAATACGAGAAAATATGGCAAGAAAGGGCAAGCTGCTTCCTGAAAGTATTAAAACTGATGGCAGTGCATCTGTTATCCAGCAGTTGTGCTCAACAGTAGAAGATACTTGTAATGATCTTCCAATTTCCCAAGAAGCCAAGGAAGATGGCAGCATTAGTGAATCCCATACAATTTCCATGGATTCAGTTAAGCTTGAGCCCCAAGTCCTTTCAACAAAAAGTCCTGAAGAAGAGAGAAGCCATTTACCGCTCATGCAGCACGAGATAGATTATCAAAATTTGTCTCCTTCAAAACCTCAACTTGAAGAAAACATGAAGACTTCTACTAATCTCTACAATCTCCCTATGAAAACTTTAGAAGGAATTACACTTGCTCCAGCCCAGAACAGCTTAGGCACACCTTTTGTTCCAGTCTTACCATTGGCAACTCCAGTTCAGAAGTTCACCTGCCAAGTTGAGGGATGTACTCGGATCTACAATTCTTGTCAGAGCATTGGCAAACATATGAAAACAGCACATCCTGATCAATATGCTACATATAAGATGCAGCGCAAGAACAAAAGAAGTAGAAAAACAGACAATTTGCAAAATCTGCCAAGTGATAGTAAAATTGTTTATTTCTTGCCACCACAAGTGTCTACTACTAGTAGTGATGTTTTTCCCCAACAAGTGAAAAACAGTTTGAATTCTACTTGTACAAGTCAACTACAGCAGTTATCTAATGTTCTTTTTCCAACACGTTTGGAAGGTATGACTAATTCATTATTACCTCATGAAAATGGTATGAATGCAGGTCTGTCTTCCCATATTAAAAGTGAGACAGAGACTACACTAGACTCCCATATGAGAAGTCTATCTAATGCAACATTACCTTCTCAGTTGGATGAGCTGGAAAAACAAGGCATGCCGCTCAACATTGACAGTGGTTCAGATCCTTTTCTTCCTTTACCTGCAGAAAATGGTCCAATTTCTCTTTTTTCTTCCCCAGCAGATAACTGTCCACCTTCTGTGTTTTCACAAATGGAAAATAATATCAATCATTTTTCCTCCCAGCTAGAAGGAAACACTAATTCTTTTCCAAAAGATGAAAGTGTTGATGTCCTTTTCCCTTCACAAGTGAATAATGAGAACTTCAGTGAAACCTCTCCACAACTCCTGGTAGCAGAAAAAGCTAGAAAGGATAATAGACGAGGTCCAGATGGAAAAGACAAAAAACCAAAGCATAATAAACGGGCAAAATGGCCAGCAATTATCAGAGATGGCAAATTTATTTGTAGTAGATGCTACAGGGTTTTTTCCAATCCCAGGTCACTTGGTGGTCATCTTTCTAAACGATCCTACTGTAAGCCCCTGGATGAATCAGAACTTTCTCCAGAAGCTCTACAGCTGAATGGGCAATCTTCTCTGCTTGCTAGTATGATTCTTTCTTCAAATGCTTTAAGTTTACAGCAACAACAGGAGTCAGCTTTTAATCCAGAAGTATGTTTTAAAGAGCCATCGTTCCTACAGCTGCTTGCAACTGAAAATCGGTCACCTGCTTTTTTGCAGAATTTGTTTCCACGGCCCAACATGACTAGCCTCAATACAAGTGAAAATGATGAAGGAAGTGAAATTATTAAACAGGCCTTGGAAACAGCTGGCATTCCAAGTACTTTTGACACTACAGAGATGCTACCGCATATAATGACCCCCAGTTGTATCACCAGCAGTTCGCAAATAAATGCAACAATTTTGCCAAGTCCTGGTGTGTCTCCCTTGTTACCAACAGTTTGCAACCCAACTACCTTGCTAACAGACCAAAATAGAACATTTAATGCCAAAATTTCATCAGTAGAAGAATGTAGCAGCTTTCCAGTATTTCCAGATGATTTAATACTCAAGACTATTGAAAATGGCTTGGGTTCCAATATGGTTTCTGATTGTGCTGCCCCAGCTCATAATTTTGGAAACAACAGTTCTCGGGTTTCAGTCATCAGCAGTATCAAAGGTTCGGAAATTTGTAGCTTGAATAAAAAGGGGGCCAGTAGTTCAAAGAAAAAGAAGAAAACAACTTCTTCCTTACTTGTGCCTAACATTTCACAAAAATTAGAAATTAATGATTTGACATCATTGGAACTTCTACCCAGAAATGTTGAAGACAATGTGCAAATTCCTGCAGAAAACTTCCGGTCAAATATACTGGCAAACTGTGAGGCTGAAGTGTTAATAGAGAACCTTACACAAAAAATGAGTAGTGTGGACAATGAATTAACTGCTAGTGTTAAAGAGAATTTCAAAACTGGTAATGAAACTTGTACAGAAATAGCTCCTTTGTTAGTAAAAGATCTTAATAGTAACTCTCAAGTCACTCTGGGCTCCTGCATTGAAGAAAATTCGAATTTAGATCCTTCAGAGGATAATATTATTCAAAATTTTCAAAAAACCCTTGAAATAATTAAAACAGCAATGAACTCCCAGATTGTTGAAATTAAAACAGAAGTCCAGGATGTGTCAGTTGAACCATCAGAAAGACTACAAATTAGAAATGTTGAGTGTGCTTTGGAAAACTTTTCCCAAAATCTTCAACCAGCTGAACCCAGTGAACAAATAGTACACACGCAGAATACTGTTCTTGCCAAAACTAATCTTTCTCAGTCAGAAACCTCTCTGAAAGATGATAGCCAAATCATGGAAATTTTAGAAGGTTTGAAAAAGCTGAAATTAGAAAGTGAAACACCAAGTCAGATATTTGACAATATAATTCATTGTCTTCCCACAGATGCGCTGTTGCCACAAATTCTTGTTCCTGTCATAACAGCTGAGAGCACATCTCTTGTCCAGCCATCTTCAGAAACACGTCTTCCCATTGTTGAAAAAGTCCATAAGCCGTTTACATGTCAGGCTCCTGGTTGTAATTACAGCGCTATGACAAAAGATGCATTATTTAAACACTACAGCAAAATACATCAATACACTGCAGAAATGATACTAGAAATCAAAAAACACCAATTGAAATATGCTCCATTCAAGTGTGTTGTAGCTTCCTGTCCAAAAACATTTACTAGAAATTCTAACCTCCGGGCCCATTGTCAACTAGTGCATCACTTTACAACAGAGGAAATGGTAAAATTAAAACTAAAAAGGCCTTATGGAAGAAGACCCCAGAATAAAGCAGCAAGCATAACACCAAGGACTGTTGAACTGCAACACATTGAACTAAAAAAACATGTGTTAATGGAATGCAAAAATCAGTCTCATTTGGCTGAGGAACCTGAAGTAAAAGAAAGAATGTATATAGAATCTGAGAAACTTCCAGAAAAAGTGGTGCCAGAAATATTGGTGCCAGAAAGTATTCCTGCTGCTCTTGAAAAATTAGAAAAGCCTCCCCAAGTAGTTCCAATTCCCCTAGAATTTCATAATGCTGCCACACCTACTACTATTACACAAATTCAGCCAAAAGTACGTAAGATTAGAAGGCATAGGAAGGAAAAGGAAGAGAGAAGAAGCAAGAAAACAGTTCAGAAATCTTTGGAAAACCCTACTACGTATAGTCCATACAGACCTTACAGATGTGTGCATCAAGGCTGTTTTGCAGCTTTTACAATACAGCAGAATTTGATTCTTCATTATCAGGCTGTCCATAAATCTGATTTGCCATCATTCTCTCCAGAGGCAGAAGAAGAAAGTGAGCCAAGCAAAGAAGAGGATATTAGAAAAGAAGAGGATTGTGATGAAACTGAAAACACAGTAAAAGAATTCAGATGTGAAATGAGAAATTGCTCAAGGATATTTCAGGAAGTCACTAGTCTTATTCAGCACTATATGAAGCTTCATGAGATGACTCCTGAGGAAATTGGGAGCCTGAGGTCATCTCTGGGTGTTGCCAGATTCCCTTGTGATCAGTCTGAATGTAAATCATCCTTTACAGAATATGTGAATTATATTATACACCTTGAGACCCATCATGGAATAAAGATAAAGCAGAACAAAACCGATGATGGCATGTACAAATGTGACTGTGAAGGCTGCGATCGTATTTATGCAACAAGGTCTAATCTCTTACGGCATATTTTTAATAAGCATAATGAGAGACATAAAGAGCATCTAATAAGGCCTAGAAAGTTCTTGACGCCAGGTCAGGAAAATATTTCAAGCAAAGCTAATCAGGAAAAGAATACGAAAATTAAACATAAAGCGTTAAAATACAGAGCAGGAAAGCATGGAAACAAAATAATCAGGATGAGACGAAAGAGAGTTATTGCCTTAGAAAACAAGAACTTAAAAATAAGTCAGGACCCTGAGAGCAAGGCATATTCTTTGAAATGCGGCAAGTATGTATATTCAATAAAGACTCGAGAGGAGGCTTTATCTGAATGCCCAAACAAATTTGTAATGCAGTACCCCTGTATGATAAAAGGCTGCTCATCCGTTGTCACAAGTGAAAATAATATAATTCGGCATTACAAATGTCACAAGCTGTCTAAAGCATTAACTTCACAACATAAGCACCTCTTAGTTGTCTCAAACAAGTATTCAGATTCGGCAGAAAAGGAAGCACCTTCACTGAAAGAAGCAAGTTCTGACAAAAACTGTGATTTAAAAGACTTGGAGCCACAAATGTCGGAGGCAGCCTCTGCAGATGTGGAATCCGCACCACCTGTGGCACAGAAAGAGCCTGAAAAGGATGAGAAGGATGAGGTGGATGAGCTTGCAGAACTGTTCATTACTAAACTTGTAAATGAAGACCTCACAAATGCAGAGAACCCTGCAAAACCCTCTCCTGATGTAAATAGTGACTGTCAAGAAACTAGCTCTTCCATTTCAGAAAAGCACAGTGCAAGCAGCAATTTAAAAAGGGCAAGCAAAGAAAAAGATCCAACACAAAAGAAAAAGAAAAAAGTTGAGAAGCAGGAAGAAACTGTGGCTGTTGAGTTAAATAGTGTGCACAGAGAGACGGAGACAGCAGTAGCTGTTCAAACTACTGAAGACGCGTCTTCAGCTTTTGACTGGAGTACATTTAAGCCGATGGGGTTTGAAGTGTCTTTTCTCAAGTTCCTTGAAGAGTCTGCAGTGAAGCAAAAGAAAAATCCAGAGCGGAGCTATAATCACTGTGGAACTAGGAAAGGGTCTCATTCAAACTCAAGGAGATCTAATGACAGAAACTCTTTTGCAAAAACACGATCGTGTTCGGAAAATGCGACATATGTACAGTTTACTAATCCTTCACAATTTCAGTGTAGTGGTACTGTAAAAATAGTTTTAGATAAGACTTTTAGAGATTGCACTGAGCTTGTGTTGAACCAGCTTCAGAAAATGAAACCTATTGTCAGTCTGGTAAGACTTGATGGACATGGAGAGGCAAATGCAAGGGTTACAAAATGATCGGGTAATATGAGTAGACTCCTTGTTCCAACAATTGGTGTCTAAATGTGACCTGTACTGCATTTTTAAAAGTAGGAAGCCATTGATCGTGATACTGTTTCTTAAGGTTTTCTTTTGAAGTGATTTAACCTTGCAAAATCATGACAATTGTCATGTAAATTTATTTGTTTTTATCCCTATGGGACTTGGAACAGAATCATTGTTTCAGTTTTGTAAATAGTTGATCAAAACCTCAAATTTTTTATCAAATGTCCTTTTTCCATGACTGAAATCTTTGTGAAATTGTCTGTGGTATCTTTCACCGGTCACTGCTCATATATAACAGTACTTTTTATTTGTAGATACATTTTTGTATATATTTATTATTGTAAATCATTTGCTGCAGCCAGCAGTCTGTATGTCTGAAATATTAAATGACACATTTATATTCAGAATTTTAATTTGTAATTAAGTGATCATGTTTTTTTAAAAAAAATGTTCTTTTAAACTTAAAACTTTTTGAAGTAAAGACTAGATAAGTCTACCATATCCAGTTTATTTTGCATAAGGTGTGTGTACAGGACAGAAACTTGATCAGATCACACATGGGTAAAATACATACTGACACAGTTGTATTTGTAACTTGAAACATCCAATGTCTTTGGGTGGCATTCAACTATAGTTCTCAGACATTTTCATACAACTGCACTTGCATAGCTTTTAAGTGGGTCTAAAACTTTTCCACTTCCATAATATAATGGAAATGTAAATTTAAATAGTTTGCTGACATTGAAAATTTAAACATTTTGGTATTGAATAACCCATCGTGAATGTGATAGAAAATTAGTAGTGTGGAGCACTGTATATATTTGAGGTGGTGATTTGTGAAGTAGCCCAGTATTGCCTTAAATAAAATCACATTTCAATTCTTGTTTTATACATGTTATCTTACAAGGATCTTTATTTTCACTGTTCCTCTAAGGGAATTTTAATAACATTTCAGTGCTGAAAGTAAACATTTCTTGATAGCCATAAGAAGAACATTCTAGTTGAGTATCCTCTGTTGAAAATAATATACTACTTATAGATTAGGTTTCATTCTCTATTTGTACAATATGCCTTCCCCCCCCACAGTTCCATTTGGATTTTTATTATCATTAAGACACTGTTATACTAGGATTCTTTCTCAACCTGGGGCCTCCCAGATGTTTTGGAACACAAAACCCATCATTTCTGAACATCGGTCATGGTGGCTCAAGCTGAAAGTAATTGAATTTTAAGACATCTGCACATTGTAGAAGCCTGAGGCCCTTCCACACTCTAAAACTGTAAAGTGTTACTGTAACATAATAATAATAATAATAATAATAATAATAATAATAATAATAATAATTTATTTCTTACCTTCCTCTTCTTATAGCTCAAGACAGGTTTCAGCATCGATAAAACAAAATCAACAATCATCTAAAAACTTTGTGTAAAATGGACATATTAAAACATTTCTACAAAATACATATTAAGACTCAGAACAAAGATAAAACATAAGCCGCAAGTTTAAAATCCATGTTTAAAACTGGCTGGGTAGGCCTGCCAGAAGAGATAGGTCTTTAGATGGCTTTTAAATTCTGACAGCTCATTCCGGCAGGCTGTTCCACAGTCTTGGGGCAGCTGATGAAAAGGTCCGCTGGGTGACAGTGCCTGTCAGGTTCTGGCAGGCTGGAGTAATACAGACACACCCAGAGGACCTAACTGTTTGTGGCGGATTGTACGGGAGAAGAAGATCCTGTAGGCAACCTGGACCCAAACCATGTAGGGCTTTAAAGGTCAAAACCAACACTTTGTATTTTGCCCGGAAACTAATTGGCAGCCAGTGGAGTTACTTTAGTATAAATGTAATATGTTCACTCCTGTAACAGATCAGTAGCACTCCCAGGCTGCAAACACATTCTTTCAGGGTGGGGTGGGGGGTGTAACCCCATCCAGAATTGGTTGACACATCTCCATCACGATTAAGACACTTGATGGCAAGCACCTCTGCTTTGTCTGGATTCAGTTTAAATTCGTTTTTCCTCATTCAGCCCATTACTTGCTCCAGGCATTCATTCAGAGAAGACACACTAACCTTAGCTGAGGCTGTTTTTAAAGGCATGGAGAAATGCCTTTGGGTGTCATCAGTATACCAATAACAACCCACCTCAAGGGTTCGAATGATCTCTTCCAGTGGCTTCATGTAAATATGGAGATAGAATGGCACATTGTCAGATGCCATATAACAGCTCTTTTTTGAGTAACAGCTGTTCCCAAGCATCGCCATCTGGAGCCTGCCTTTAAGGTATGACTGGAACCACTGCAACACAGTTCCAGAAAGATACCTTGGTCAATGGTATCAAAAGCTGCTGAGAGGCCTAGAAGCACCAACAGGGACACACTCCCCCTGTCTGTTGAGACTGAGATCATCCACTAAGGCAACCATAACAGTCTCAACTCCTGCTCTAAAGCCAGTTTGAAATGGGTCATGGAAGTGTGTGTCATCCAAGACTCTCTGAAATTGGAAGGCAACTACCTTGTGAGTCACCTTTCCTTAAAAAAGGAAGATTAGAGACTGGTCTGTAATTATTAAGGTACAGGAGATCCAGGGTGGGATTTTGCAGCAGTAGTCTTAACTAATAAACAGGATGGAAAATTCCCCTCCCTAAGAGATATGTCAATAATTTGTTGTATTTGAGATCAAATTGCATCTTCTCCCTGGACAACCAGCCAAGATAGACAGGGATCAAGAAAGTAGATTATCTTCCTGCCCCTACAGCTTGTCCACATCAACAGTACTCGCCAATTGAAACTGATCCAGTGTAATCCCACTCACAGAATTGCTGGACATCTTGTTGGCTTCTGCTCTAATGACTGCGAATAAATCTGCTCCTAGGTGAGAGATGGCTGTTAAAAGCATTCCAGTGAGCTACTGAAGGTTCTAATAATGGGTTAAGAGGGGAGGGTACCTGAGTTAAGCCTCTCACTATGAACAGCTCAGTTGGATGTGATTCTGCAGGCACAATGTGTGCAGAGGAGAGCGTTTTTCACTGTGTGTATTGTCAACTTACAGGAACAGAGGTGCCCTCTATACCGTGTTTTGTCACATAAAAGACGGGTTTTCCACCATCTGCACTCTAGTCCTTCACATTTCATCTCCCTGAGGGTCTTTGTATACCATAACAGTTTGAAGAGGGCATTTGGGGGCAATTGTAGCAATAGCCCTGGTTAGATTTTGATTCCTTTTATTGACCAGATATGCAACAGGATTGTTGATGATGCCAACAATAGAACCCTCTAAAGTCTCCTGGAATCTCAAAGGATCCATTTGTCATCAGGGATGGACCATTTTAATAGGTCCCCCACGCCTGCAGGGATAAGATGTAGCTGTGATACTAGCCCTGACCAGAAAGCGATCTGTCCATAACAATTCGGAGGTATTGATACCTCCACCCCCAGAGCCATATGTTCCGAGCTGAAAATCATATCAAATGTATGACATTTAAGTGTCATAGAAAATTGCATCAAGTGTATGACAAATAATAGCTTTTATTATAAATGATGATTGGGTTTTTTTTTACAACAGCATCTGTTAATATTTGTCTAGAACCAGCCTCTGCTTTCTGTACATACCACCAACTGGAAATGCCTAACAACACCTCAGGTTAATCCAGTTTAACATGGAGTAAACCTGGATTTTGCGGTTTACTACAGGTTAAAAAAATACTGGGAAGGTGCGGACTTTCCAGGAAAGTTCACACCTTCCCAGGTACGGGGACTGTGGGAATTGACTCTTGGATTGCCTTCCACAATCCTGGTCATCAATCTCCACAGCCATCACAGTTATTTGGCTCCAGGAGCCTGAAGAACCAGGATGACACTGCCACCCTCCCCTCCTAGACCCCTGTTTTCCCAGTAAATTTACTGGAAAGGCCTGCCTCCATCTGCAGGCCTCTAGGAGTAAGCTTATCTCATGTCCAGGAGTAAGCTTCTGATAGGCTGATCAACCCAGGAGGATATAGATGTTCCCTCACCAAACTGTGTGGTCTGGAACCACAATGTGGCCTAAAACTCAATAGAAACCTGCATTTTTTTCTTCATACTTAGGTCTTGTATATCTGTTTTCCAAAATCAAATCAGCGAGCCTTGGTCTCCACGGGCTTTGGTCCTTGGACTTCCTGTGGATACCAATATTTATGCAAAATATATACAATTTGCAAAAAAAATGCATTTTATATAATACGATAAAATTAAGATTTAGATTTGGGAGGGTTTAAAAAATACTTTCAAACAGCAGTTGGTCGAATCTGTAGATACAGAATCTGTGGAGATGGAGGGACAACCATAAGGGCATGCTGCATGGAACTCAGAAAGATGCATAAAAAGAATATTTCCATAAATAATTTTTTCTAATAGCCACAGCAGTTCCTGCACCTTTAATTCATGTTGGCTGCTTTTAACATCACAGGTCTTCCTACTTCCTGGAGTAAAATAGTGATCAAGAAATGTCATTGTACTGTTGGTGTTAGGAAAATACTGGATTTGGGATCAATATAACCTTTTGAAGGGTGAAAGATTTCCTTCCACCTTCAGGAAAGGAAAACGGCCTGGCCAACAAATTCCTACCCAGTCATCCCAGAAAATGAGTTCCTGGCTAATACAGTATCTTGTGAGGAGCAGACAAGATCAGAAAAGTGTCCTGCTGTGTCTCCTTTGGTAGACATAAAATGTCTCCTTATGGTAGACATAAAATGATTCCAAGAATGCTAAGATATCCAGAAGGCCTTGGCAGCTCTCCACACTAATGCAATCATTTTGTATCTGGTTATAGGGCTCAGCCCGACATTTCTCCAACTTTTAATTATCCCAAAAAGTCAGGGAATGGATATGGGGAAGGGGCTTCAGGGGCTATATGGTAAGTCAAGGGGTGGTATATATGATGCAGGCTAGCAGAGGTCTGCAAGCAAAACTATTACTATGTATGAAGTACGTCAGTTTGCGATGAGTATTGAATATGGCTGCAGCAAACATTATTTCAGATCAGGTGTCTGAGTATCCAGAACCGGGATATTGTATCTAGGTGGTTGCATTAGCAAGTTATGGTTTATGTAACTGATACATTATCTTCCTCTGCAGACCTGATATCAGTTAACAATGAGGTTAATGTTTATGGTTGAATTCAGGAGTGGACAATCTGGTGCCATCCAGATATTGGACTGCAACTCTTAGAATTCCTGTCTATTGCCCATGATGAGTAGGTCTGATAGGACTTCTTGTCCCAAACAGCTGGAAAGCACAAAGTTGCCTAGTGAAACATGCCATGACATTAAAGCACAGTTCAAAACTGGCTGTTTTTACTGAATTACAGTACAACGAATGCTAACTCATAATGTAGGCATAACGACCAACTGCTATCAGCTGAAAATGGGGAAAAAAAATTCAAGTCTCCTCCATACTATCTCTTCCACTCAAGAGAAGACATGAGCCTCATTTTGAGGGTAATGATTTGTTTGTTTGTTTGTTTGTTTTTTGAGAAACAGACTTGCAGTTTCTCAAGAGTCAGGAGCGACTTGAGAAACTACAAGTCACTTCTGGTGTGATAGAATTGGCCGTCTGCAAGGACGTTGCCCAGGGGATGCCCGGATGTTTTGATGTTTTACCATCCTTGTGGGAGACTTCTCTCATGGCCCCGCATGGGGAGCTGGAGCTGACAGAGGGAGCTCATCTGCACTCTCCCCGGATTCGAACCTGTGACCTGTCAGTCTTCAGTCCTGCCAGCACAAGGGTTTGACCTACTGCACCACCGGGGCTCCAGGGTAATGCTAAACTGGTTTAATACTTTATATGAGCCAGACAAAATATAAATGTAAGCAGAGAAAGGGGTACTGGAAGAGTTAGTAATGGCAAAATTCTGAAGTTAAATGAGTTTTTTTTTTACTGAACTGGAGTAAGGAATTAAGCTGATGGCCTCAGGGAGGAGATAGCGAGCTGAGGTTTGAGGCATACAGCTATCTGACTGTTGGCTTTACATTTGGTAGGATGTAGCAACAAGCCATCTTAGTTCTGATTTCATCAATTTCGAAACCAATAGGAGACATTTCTCTTACTATATTTTTGCTGCTTCTCTTTTCACAGCAGCTCAACAAAATAATCAAAATAATTTTAAAATCCAATAAAATGTTAGAAAATGCAAAACAACCAACCAGCAATTTTTTAGAAATTACAAAATTGTAACAGAAGATGACATTTACAATATAAATGAAGAAGGGACTAAGCAAAATTTAAAAAACCACATTGAAATCAGGTGCTTTTAACAAGCCCCATGAGTGTTAACAGAAATCCAAAACTTGAGAAAGGAAAACCAAACCTCAGACAACTCTTGGAGATAAAACTGCCTTCTCTGAAGATCTTAATAAACAGCATCACATGCAAGGAGACATTCCTTTAAATTTGTGGTTCTCAACCTGTGGGTCCCCAGATGTTTTGGCCTTCAACTTCCAGTAATCCTAACAGTAGTAAACTGGCTGGGATTTCTGGGAGTTGTAGGTCAAAACTCCTGGGGACCCACAGGTTGAGAACCACTGCTTTAAATGCTTTGGACCCAAACAATATAGGCTTTGAAAGATAGTAACCAGAATTGAAATTTGGGCCCAGAACCAGTGCAGATGAGTAAAAATATACTACATTTAGAGAATGCCAGCAGCCTTCTGTGCCAATTGCCATTTCCAAACACTCCCAAAGGCATCCCCACAAACAGTACTGACTATAAATACTTGACCATAATTGAATCTGTCCCTGTTGAAAACAGCTTTGGTGAAAACTGTTATAGGTTGACGATGCATGCAGAACAGCCGAAGCTGTATTTTCATATGTGCAACACAAGTAGAAGAGGGAAAATTTTACTTTATGCAGCAAGAGTTCAAAAACCAGCAACTTCAACACAAACTTGCAGTATTGCATGAGTACATTCACAGTCCCTCTGGAGTAGCACACTCACGTATAGTCCTTGCATTTAACTCATACCATTCTTTCCACAGAAAATATGTCTCTTCCAATACTCCTTTCTTCGATATGGAGACAAGTAGAGAAGATAAACTTGCCTGCATCAAATAGGCAGCAAATCAGGAGCTAATGCTGAGTAAGCTCAGGAGCAAATATTCTGTTAGCCCATAGTTGAATTACAAACACTTCGGGAGTGGCCCATACTTACTGACCTTAATTATCCCATTCACCCAGCTTTTGTATTGTAATTAATCAGGGTGAGTCTTTTTCTCTTAACACACACACACTTGATATTGATCCCACTAAAACTTAGCCAGTTTCTTACATATACCGTAATAAAAACTGCCCTGGCAGCAACTACGGTATTCATAGATCATTAGCAAAACTGGGGCTCCAGATAGCCTCTACACTAATTCTTTCAGATGTGCTGCTGCCCCATTTCTAACAGGCTGAACACCCATTCTTTTGTCAGCTTTCTTACCAGGCTGGATCTTATCCCTTGTCCAGGAGCTTTAGCACAGCTGGTAAAATCACCAGCAATTATAAGATCTACCAACCAAAAGGTTACAAGTTCGAAGTCCTGGGTCGGCGTGAGCACCCGACTATCAGCCCTGCTCACTGTTTACCTAAGCAGTTCAAAAACACCTTACAGCTGTGATTAGAGAAATTAGGTACCACTAATGCGGGGAGGTATTTTACGACACCATAAAGGAAAAAAGATCACAGAATGCCGGTGACCAAAAGGAAGGAGGAAGTCCTGGTGATTCTTGATCATAGAGGATGGAGCGACAGCACCCCCCTGTGGCTGGCAACTCCCAAAGATGCCGACAAGCTGGATGTTCAACTGGATGTCAACACAACACAATATACCTCCTTTCTGTTCTGTCTGTCTCTGTCCCATCCAAAAATAGCATTGAATGTTTGCCATGTATGTGTACTGTAATCCACCCTGAGTCCCCTTCGGGTGAGAAGGACGGAATATAAATAAACTATTTATTATTATTATTATTATTATTATTATTATTATTATTATTATCCCTATAAATATACTGTTATACATTATATGTACTAATAACAAACATCAAATGGGTATATAATGTTTGCATCTTCTAAAAGAGCGTCCCAGTAATTCCTTCTGGAAAATGCAAAGGATTACCACTGCAAACACACTGGTGTGGGACAGGTGGTTGTGTAGGACCTTCTGCCCCTTTAGTAATGCCCCTCGAGGAGAGAAGTGGGTTCCTTTACCATCCAATAAAGCTTGCACGTACAGTGCTATACACTTCTCTTAAAGAACGTATCAGGAACCCCTGACATTTGTAGTAAGAGGAGAATGCAGGAGCTTCCATTGCAAAAATTTGGAGACCCCTGAGTGTCACAGAGAAGGCCCCAACTCATGATGTGGAAGCCAATGGTCCACCAGCAGGAACTGTCAGCTTTCTATTCCTGGAGAAAAAAGAGAGGAAATCTCAATAGGGTGGCTTCTTAAACCTTTTAAGACAAGAGAACTCTTTGAAATGGAAGCAGATGCCTAAATTACTGGCCTTTTCAATGTTTTTATCATATGCATCAAATGTTTACACATTGATTTAGGGGAATCACTACTTCTGCTGTGTGTTTTCAAGACATTTCCAACTGATAGTGACCTTATCACAAAGTTTTCCCAGCAAGATATATTGGGAGGGGTTGCTTTTGCCTTCCTCTGAGGCTGAGAGTGTGTGCCTTGGCCAAAGTCACCCAATAGTTTTCAGTGGTTGAGCAGGAATCAACCCTCATCTCCAGTGTCCTACTCCAGTGCTCAAACTACTACATCACACTGGCTCCTTAATATTGTGAACCTTAAATAACTTCATTTGTAGGGGGAATAGCCTACAGCTTAAAGTCCTCAAGCTGTCATGGTATTTTCTCAGTGTTCATTTTTAAAGTCATCAACATGTTTTCTTTTTTTCATGTGCATTTATTCTTCATGTTGGCTGCTGGGCTGGGTTTTTACTTCTGTTCCATGGATATCAAAGACGGTGTCCAAATCACTCCCAAAATACAAGACTGTCCCATTGTGATCTGTAGAATTCAACTTCTTCTGCTCACTTTTGGAGTCTTGAGCCTTCTTGATATAATTCTTGAAGCAACATTTGATGGAATATTTGAAAATCAAATAGCTGAACTCAATGACATTTAAGACGATGCACAAGCAAGAAGTCACCACCACAATATAGAGGAAGACTTTCTTCTCAGTGGGCTTGGATATGTAACAGTCAACAGTGTTGGGACATGGGCTCATGTTACATTTCACAAGGCGGGGGACATTGAACCCACCATAGAGCTTGTAGAACAAAAAGAGGAAACCAATTTCAAATCCTGTTTTGGAAAGGAGGCTGATGAGATAGGTGCATAGCAATCCGCCATCCATACTCCCTGGGTCCTTATAGAGTTTTGTTCTGTGTCTCTTTTCCCTATTTTCACGATAAGCAACGTGGAGAACGACAAGAAGGGATGGGGTGGAGACCATGATCAGTTGCAAGGCCCAAAGCCTGACTTGGGAAACGGGGAAAAAGTGATCAAAGCAGACATTTTCGCAGCCAGGTTGCTTGATGTTGCACTCAAACTCCTTCTGTTCGTCCTTCCAGACGTGTTCTGCAGCCACAACATAGACAAGGAGACGGAATATGAACACAATCGCCAGCCAAATTCTGCCGATTCCCGTTGAATATTTATTCACCCCACTTAGAATATCGCGGAGAAATCCCCAGCTCATTTCTTCTACTTCAGGAGAGACAAGACGCTGTAACAAAACAAATAAGACACATGAGAATGTCCTTTGAAAAAAAACAAAATCGGGAACATCCAAACTAAATTAGATTGCTCATTGGATCAGAAGGGAACAAACCAATCTTACCATAAGTGGATTGCCTGAGGGAAAATAGAAAAAAATTAGTATATTGTCGAAGGCTTTTATGGCCAGAATCAGACCTCACAACCTCTGAGGATGCTTGCCATAGATGCAGGTGAAACATGAGGAGAGAATGCTTCTAGAACATGGCTATACAGCCCAAAAACCTACAACAACCCAGAGAATTTTAGCTTTTAAAAAAACTGATTAGTCTTCCTATTCGTAAACTGGAAATAACAGAACTTTCTGTTTAGTACTTCCAGGCGTCTTAGGACCTTTCTACATTGCCAAATAAGATCCAGATTATCTGCTCTGAACTGGATTATTTAGCAGTGTAGACTCATATAATCCAGTCCAAAGCAGATAATGTGGATTATCTGCCTTGATAATCTGGATTGGAACCCCCGGTGGCGCAGTGGGTTAAACCCTTGTGCCGGCAGGACTGCTGACCGACAGGTCTGAAGTTAGAATCTGGAGAGAGCGGGTTAAGCTCCTTCTGTCAGCTCCAGCTCCCCATGCAGGGACATGAGAAAAGCCTTCCACAAGGATGGTAAAACATCAAACATCTGGGTGTACACTGTGCACCCAAACGGCCAATTCTCTCACACCACAAGCGACTTGCAGTTTCTCAAGTTGCTCCTGACAATAATAATAATAATAATAATAATAATAATAATAATAATAATAATAATCTGGATAATATAGCAGTGTAGAAGGAGCCTTAGAATTCGATACAAAAGGTTATTAACAAGAACTAGGGATAATAAACTTTCATTTACTATTAGAAAGCATTAATAACAAAATGCTTGAGATAGTTTGTACACAATATGTTACAACTTGTTGCAACAAGCAACTGACTGGTCTGTTTCTATACTGTAATAAGTTTAATTTGTCAACTGCTTTGAATCTGAATTCTGAAAAGATTGTGAAGTGTAAATAAAGTGGAAAAGGAGACAAGTAAGTTATGAGGAGTTCTTCAACTGGTCTGCTGTTCCATACCATTTCTATAACGTTGTAGCATTGATGTTTCTGGCATAGGTAAAGATCTGCTTTGTAAGATCTTCGATGATTTAATCCTGGAAAATTCATTTGTGCTGAGTTGGGATGGAGCCAGTGAACCACAAAGTACATGTACAAAATAGTCCTGTATGAGATGGACAGGGTTTTTTTTTTTATTTGGGGGGGGGGGGTTCAGGTTTTCATTCAGAATAAAAGCTATTCTTTGTTTCTAAAAATAACCTCTGTATATAACCTCTGTTTAAAGGCCTCCAAGGAAGGAAAATCCATCAGCCTCTGAAACAATCCATTCCACTGCCAAAATCATAAATAATATTTATACATTAATGTATCATCCAGTACACAGAGGTCTCTGAATTCATCTGAATGCATACATGCCAATGTCTTAAATGCCCTAAATCATTTCCTTTTTCACTAGGTTCAAATTACAGAAAAGAGATTCCACTTCAACATAAGAAGAACGTGTAATTGTAAGAGCTGTTCAGCAGTGGAACTCTCTGCCTCTGAGTCTGGTGGAGGCTCATTCATTGGAGGCTTGTAAACAGAGGCCGGATAGCCTTCTGTCCAGGGTGCTTTGACTGTACATTTCCTGCATGGTGGGGAGTTGGATTAGATGGCCCATGTGGTCTCTTCTAACTCTATGATGCTATGTAATGAGTACAGATTAAAATATTCCAATGTATTTAGTAAAATTATTCTCTAGAATACAATTTAAATGGAATGTATATTACTTGGGAACATCTCCGTCATGGAGTATAACATTTCCATAGATGCCCAGTAGCTTCCTGAGATTCCAAACCAATACAACATTTACTTGTAGTAAATGCCATTCAACTCATTTGAATGACTATCTGCAAAGC